TAAATATAAATTTAAAAAGTATGTGAAAAGATGCTCAACATCATTAATCATCAGAGAAATGTTAATTTAAACCACAATGAGTCCTACTACATACATACTAGAATGGCATAAATTAAAAAAAAAAAACAATACCAAGTGCTGGCAAGGATGTGAAACCCTCATATATTGCAAGTCACAGGGGAAAATGGCACAGCCTCTTTGTAAAACAATTTGGCATTTTCTTAAAAAGTTAAATATACACTTACCCAGCAATCATACTCCTAGGTATCTATTGACAAATATTTGTACAGGAATGTTCATAATAGTTTTTTCATATAGAGGAAAATTGGAAATAATTGAGTTGATAAATAATGGAATTCCACTCAAAGATAAAATAGAATACTGATACATGCAGAAGCACGGATAGGTCTCAAAAGCATGATCACATAAGATTATACACTATATTTTTCCAATTATATAGAATTCCGTAAAGGTAAAACTATAGTGAGAAAAAGCTGCCATGTGATTTCCTGGGGCCAGGTATTGGGGAGGGAATTAACTGCAAAAGGCTAAACATAATGGGGCGAGGGGGAGGCTGGAAATATTCTATATTTGATTTGATTATGGTAGTGGTTACACAACTGTGTGCATTTGTCAAATCATCAACTTGTACACTTAAAAATTAATGTGCTTTAAAGAAAAATATACCATGTAAAACAAAACAAAAAAAACCTGCACAAAAGGAATAAATTGGGTCTTAGAACTAAAGAATCTCATCAGTGTTGGGGATCAATTTAGAGGTGACTTTTAAAAATTATAGAGAGAAAGTGAGATGTTAAAAAAGGCCACATGTGTTCAAATTTTTAGCCTTTGCTGACTTGAATCATCAGGGTATTTAAAAATCTTGGTGCAAATCAGATTCCCATTTTTGCAATCTTGCAGAAGCCTGGCAAATTGGAGAAGATGATAGTGCTCTCTGATAAGGGATAAGAGAAGTAGGCAGGTCTCAGGAATTGTTAACACACTGTAGGCCAGGGAGAATAAATTTAGTACTAGAAAAAAATATTAAATGTCATCACAGAACCAATTTGCAAACAATGAAGCAAGTAAAATTGCAGAGACTTGGCTTTGTAAACAAGCGATTCTGCCAGACCACTTCAGCCCCTCTAGTTACTATTAATAAATGGCAGGCCTGGTGGTTTAACCAAAAGCAATAAACGTAATGCATCTTGGCTGTAGTCAGATATTTTGATTTACTCAAATATGAAACTCTCATCACTAAAATTGGAAAATATTGTCTACAGTACCAGATGCAGTCCTAGCTAAAAAGTGACATCTAAATTGCCCTGGCATGGTGTGGGGAACAGAGGAAAAATAAAAATGTACCAGACAGGGAATGACACTTTGAATTGTGGGTGATGAATGTATATGGCGTTTGAGGCATTAAAGAATTCATATGAGTAGAACATGGGGTGGAAAATGTGGAGGGTGGTGTGGAGGAATGAGAGGGAGAGAGGGCCAGAATACAAAGGGCCTTACAAAGTCCTTAATGAACCATGTTAAAGAGCAGGACCTTATTCTCGAATTCCCCAGAGCCATAGTAGAAGTACTGACAGACAGCTCAGCTAGTACCAGAGTCCAGGCCAGCTTTCTACTAGCCCAAAGTTTTTTCAACTCTATCTCTTGTTTCCTCTCCCTACAATTAAATGAGCAAACATTAGACTGAGAAATAAGTAAAATGAAATTGTTGATGTTAAGTAGACCACTTTTGAGCTCCAGTTTAATGTTAGAGAAGATTGAATATGTTTTAACTTGATTCAGAAAAGAGCCACAATGTTGGAAATTAGAAGCATCTTTTCTGTGTGACTTCAGACAAGTCTTTTCTGTGCCCTAACTTTCTTATCTATAAAATAGGGACAATAGTATACATCTATTGTCTGTTATGTGCAATCCTGAAATTCAAAGAGCTCTAAAAACTAAAAGTTTGTATGGTTTTGTTTTGATTTTCTAAGTTTGTGGCATACTCATTTGGAGGTGAATCCCAGTCCAAGCTATGAGGCTTGACAGTCATTTCCAAGTTAGTGTGAATTATTTGTGTATTCTGCAGAAATGTTAGTGTTTGATCATGGGGTGCTGCCCTAAATCCTGCTGGAAATGTTGATAATATATGCTATATGAACTTTACTCCCTTTTGAAAATCTAAACGATTCTAGCTTCTGAAACTTCTGGCCCCAGGGGTTTCAGATAAGAGATTGTATACCTCTAATACCTTCCTCATAGGGTTGTGTGAGGATTACATTTCTTACAAAGGAATTTGGTAAATGATGAAGCTATTTTTATTTATCATTATTTAAACTCAGAAATTAGATTACCCGCTGCCATCTGTGAGAATAAGTGAGGATCAGTACTTGATGTTTAACCTTATTCTTAGTGCTTTTATGCTTCAGTCTGTCAAGCTTGATTTATAGTATAACAATTATTGAAATGGAATGTTTCTCTACAGAAACTTTCCTACTTCGAATACTTATCCTTCATTTTTGCAATCTTTACATACTTGGAAGGATGCCTTATTTGCCTTCGGGTGTTAGCTGACAGGCGTATTTTTCAGTCATCTTTCCTAAGGTTCATCTTATGAAATTCATGTTTAGATTATGTATTATATACCTCCTAACAAAAACACAAATGGATATGCTTATTCTCTTGGCATTCTCAGTAAAAATGAGTCCTTAATATGTTCTAAAACAATGTTTGTAAAGTCATTGGTTAAAAACACAAGAGCAGAAATATCCATCTAAAGTTTATTCAGCGTTTCCCAAGTAAAAATTTATTTTTGTGGTAGAATCTTGGCATGATTCCTATTTCTTCAAGCTACGTAAAACCCTTTTGCTATGTTTAATCCATGGCCTGTGGGCATGGAGGACTGATTTTGCAATACTCTTCTGGCATTGGGAAATTTTTAACTAAAAATTTCATATACTGAACTACTTGGGAGAAAAGAAAAGATCATTTAAATAAATGTTATATTTCAAAAGGAAGAGTTAGACAATCATTTTAAAAGTGGATTTTGCTGGGGTATTAGCTTTTAGTGAGAGTTGGGGTGGGACATCTCAATAATGAATCTGTTTGCCACTCTGGCTCCAGCTCCCCTGTGTCTTTGCCCTGGAAGGATATTGCTGCCAACTTAGGATTGCAACCTGTGTGTATGTTTACCCTTTGTTTGGATAAGTGTTACTAGGTGCCCCACTCTTGGCCAGCAATTCTAGTGCCTGGGTGGTTTTGCCTCAGCATCTGAGCGAGTAGGAATGGAGTAATAGAGCATTGACCCCAAGAACAGAGGTGTAAGGATTAGAATGAAGACTTGCTTTTCTGTTCAGAGGTGAGGGAGGGGAAGCAACACAGGATAGGACCTTTTTATTTCTATTTCGTTCTACGTCTCATGCTTTCTCTACGCTATTTTGCCAACTCTACAACCAACTAACCACCACTGAACTTGCTCTCTCTGAAGAAGGAAGAGTGGGCAGGAAAAGTTTCACTCACTTGTGAGTGAAAAGATCTGGACTCCTTCTTTGCCATGATTAGCTGTGTTACATTAGGCCAGTTGTTTGGGGGAGTATAGGACTGAAGGGTCCGTTCTCGCTCCTGCATTCCCGTATGCTCTGAAATTAGAAGATACATGCAATAATTTGGGAGAGATCTTGCCTTGCAGTTCTCAAGCTGGTTAACCTCTGGTTAAATCTCTCCAATCTCTGGTGGATATTCCATTTTAAAAAAATTCCATGAACCCTAATTCCTATGAGTCTCTCTAGAGTATTTTAAAGGCTGGATTAATTATAATCTGCTAAGCAGAGAGCTGTCTTTATGATTTATTGTTTAATATCACTCAATACATGAAAACACTGTTTTTCCATTTAGTTTCTGGTTATCCATGAAGCTACTCATGGTATTAATCATTTAAACCCCCTCTGAGCCTCAGTTTCTTCATCCTACAGAGAAGATATTAAATAACAGAAAATAATGGTATAAATGTGCTTTGATAAATATAAAACCTTTTGTAAACATAGGATTTTAAGTAAAATACCAAAAAATTATTATGAATTTGATTAATGAATATGGCTTCCTCTAGTAAGATTGCCATACATCGTATATGCAGTAGCCAATGGCAAACATGCAGCTATAAAGGCTATAAAACATGGATACATTTTCAGTGTTCTGATGTGTAATGTAACAATATCTCCTGTCGGTTGTCTCCTTCCCTCCATCCCTGGCCCCATCTCTAAGCAGTATTCTACTGAACTGAAGAAACTGTACTGCCAAATTGCAAAGACATGCCCCATCCAGATCAAGGTGATGACCCCACCTCCTCAGGGCGCCGTAATTCGCGCCATGCCCGTCTACAAGAAGGCTGAGCACGTCACTGAGGTGGTAAAACGGTGCCCCAACCATGAGCTGAGCCGTGAATTCAATGAGGGTAAGGAGCATTGGAATCTGTAACTGTTTGGTTAAGTTCCTTGAAGGTAAAGATCCTGTGGGTATTTTTGTTTGGAACCTGCCTACCTGGTTCAGACTTCTGCAATCTAATTGCAGCTCAGTCTGTCTTTTTGGTTGACAGTGTCCAAAAATAATGGTAAGTAAATTTGTGACTTTCACAATGGTTGAACTATTTAATTTAACATTAGTGGTTACTAGATGATCTGGACTACCACGACTGGTCTACTCCCTGCTGCTCCTTTCCTTTTCTTTGTTTTTTTTTCTTTTTCATAAATGAGAGAGTGTAAGGAGAACAACATGTTAGCTGTTCTTCTTGACCCAGGCTCTGCTATTCAGCTGTAGTTTCTTTCCCAGAGAAACAGGAGGACTCCGCCACACAGGAGTGGGGAACCTGCAGCCTTGGGGCTACATGTGGCCCTCCAGATCCCCAAATGCGGCTCCTCGACCAAATCCAAATTTCACAAAACAAATCCTTTATTAAAAGGATTAAGTTCTTTATTAAAAGGATTTGTTTTGTGAAATTTGGATTCAGTCAAAAGGCTGCACTCAAGGATCCAGAAGGCCACATGTGTCCCCAAGGCTGCCGTTTCCCTACCCCCAGGGGGGAATAGTCGAATGAAAGAGTGGGAGTCAGGGGAGTAGGTATCTTGAGGGTCACGTTTAAGCTCTGTGTCCACGAATAAGCCATGCCCTATCTTCTGAGCCTCAGATCCAAGCTTTGGAGAAGGAATCACTATTTCCAAAGGTTCCCTTAAATTTGTTATAATGGTTCCATGAAGGGGGACTAAGTAGAAAATACTGAAAAGTGGAAAGTAAGATAGGGGAAAGCATAAGGAATCATCAATGAGTGATGAGAGTGAAGGAGGGGTTGGAAGTTAGGATACTTTATAGGAAAAATACTAAAAACATAAGGATTGGTAAATAGAATGTATAAATATAAAGAATATAATAGAGTGTAGAGAAAATTAATGGAGGAAGAAAGAGAATAGATAAAAATTTTAAAGTAGAAAATAAAGTCAAAATCCTCCTTAACCCAACTATTTTTTATACATGCATTCCTAGTCCTTGTCTACATAACATTATCCATACATTTCTGTCTTGCTTATCACTTAACAATATGCCATAAACAGTATCCCATATAGATAGGCTCCATTATCCATTTACCTAACTGCCTGTGTCCCATCAAGATGATAATATTTTTAAACTGTTTTCTCATTTTTGGACTAATAGTTGTTTTTAGTTTTTACCATAATAGATGATGCTGCAGAGAACATCATGATACATTTAACTTTTTACTTCGATTGAATATTTTTTTGTGGAATGGAACTACGTGGCCTAAGGTTAAGAACAGCTTTATGAATCCCAATTCTTAGAACATCTTCCTTTTTTGTATACCAAATGCTGTAAGACTTTGCATAAGTTCTTTTTAAAACCTACTTGTCTTTTATTGTCCCCAACCTGGGACTCCTTCAGCAAAGTAAAGCCAGCAAGTTTCTTATCTTTATAACCAAAGCAAGATTTGAAAATGGAGAAGGAGAAAAGAATAAGCAAAGTGAAAGTCATATGCTTGCTGTCTTCTGCTTATTTAGTATCCTTGTTGATCAGGCTTTTGGGCAACATTTTTAACAGTCGAACTGATTTTTTTTTTTTTATTGCTCCTTTCCTTCTATTTTTCATGGAAGCTATCAAAATGCTCTCCGTGGATGAGTCAAAGATATAGTTACAGAGTTCTATAAAACCTTGACTTGTTAACCTTAAACTGCAAAGTATAGGACTGCTCTCTTAAACATAGATGAGCATTCCAGCCTCTTCCATTACTATAAAGGTTGAGATACCTTCATGTATCATATTAGATATCTGGCAACAGGATCTGCCCCTTTTTTCAAGGATGTATATTTCCTTTAATACACGTACCATTTCTTTGGCCACCAACATTCTGTCTATGAAGTTTCATTTTGTTTTCTTTACTTTGAAGGTAAGGAACTATTTTGTCTTTTTCTGTTTTGCAGGACAGATTGCCCCTCCTAGTCATTTGATTCGAGTAGAAGGGAACAGCCATGCCCAATACGTAGAAGACCCCATCACAGGAAGACAGAGTGTGCTGGTACCTTATGAGCCACCACAGGTAAAAATAAATAAATGAATAAAATTACACACACACATGCAAACACACATATATATGTGTATATATAGAGAGAGAGACAGCAAGAAAGAAAGAGAGAATAGGCAGACTTGAGAGAGCATTAGTTTCAGCAACAGGGAGTATTGCTAGCAAATATGTAACATTTTTTGTATTTTTTTCTCCCTATTCTCCACATGCCTTTCCTTCAAAGCTCCAAAATATGTACTGAACTAACTGGTAACATGGCTCTGTGCCCATGTTCCCATCTTAAGGGCAGATAATAATTGAACTGGGCTTATACATGGCATTGTTTTATCCAGCTGGCAATTGCACTGGGAGTGCATGTGCAACGGTAATGGATGCAAGTATTTTTACACTAGTCAGTAGGTGGGATAGCTGAAGAGGAATCTCTTAAAGTTTGAATGAACAGATGGCAGATTTGTAAATCTGTCATGTAAACCAGAGTCTTGTGGTAGTAAGGAACCCAAAGTTCTTTGGTTTTCTACCTTACTAAATAGGCCTTTGACGTGTGACTCTCCCTCTCTGGGCTTCAGTTGCCTTACCCATAAGTGTGCACTTTGGACCAGATTATTTAATTCTGAGAATGTTTGGAATTCCAGAGTGTTATTAACAGAAGTGTATATTCAAATCTATGTCATAGTGTTTTATTCGTATAGGGAAAATATCCTTGGAGCATTGCTGCTGTTCTGGTAACTTTTTCCAGCCTTCTCTTTTCAGTGATATTCATGTATGTGGTATAGCCTATTTGGATTGGGTGATGTGGATCAGCTTGCAAATGAACAGGATCAAAAATCAGTTATAGCCTGTCTTACCTAACATAGTGTCCAATGTTGCAAAAATCAGTTTTAAGCTTCCCAGGAGGCAAGACAAAGAAAAATCTATAATGAGTTTCAAAGTTTGTCTTCCTGGAAGGAAGCATATCACTTCAGAATTGGGATGCTTTAAATAGAGGGAAGAATTTAAAAGGAAGAGGATCAGTTCAAGCCATTGTTAACACAATTTTTCCCCCCTGTGCTTAGGTTGGCACTGAATTCACGACAGTCTTGTACAATTTCATGTGTAACAGCAGTTGTGTTGGAGGGATGAACCGCCGTCCAATTTTAATCATTGTTACTCTGGAAACCAGAGAGTAAGTGGCATATGTAGAACTGTCATTCTCTAAAAAATCATGGGCAGAGAGGGGGCAAAGTGAAATTGTGTCTGCTTTATCATTAACTTTGCATGTATAGCAGAGAGCTACCCTTGATTTTGTCCTTTGTACTTTAAATCCTTGCTGCAAACACTTACATAAAAGATCTAAGAAAGCAGAGACAGACGAGGGTGGGTAGAGGGAGGAAAAAAGAGCCGGGAAAGGTGTGCAAGTGGCTTCATACCTGAATTCTTGACATTTGACTGGAATTGTTTCTGATTAGACAGTGTTTGTTTTCATGTGGCCCCCAAGGCATTTGACAGTTTCTTTGAATAAGTCTGGGCTGCCTAAGGGGATTTTATCCTGAGACATCCACTGGCTTAACTCAAGTTTCCTTCAGAATATGTAGCTAAATACAGCTGTTCGGCTAATGGCTTGGAGGTTCTTTGCAGAACAAATGGAATGTTATTTACTAATACTGCTTGTGGCATGTAAGCACTTTTGTGTTCTGCCTAGCGCTTTGGGGTCCATCCTCAAAGCAGCCATGGCTGAGCTGGTGGTGGTGGCGATGGTGCACAGGCCATGGTCAATATTGGAAATGGAAATGGGAGAACTCTAGGAGACCTTTAAAATTCTTTGAATTTAACCTTTTATCCCCTTTTTTTCCCCTAATTCGTAGTGGGCAGGTCCTGGGCCGGCGCTGCTTTGAGGCCCGGATCTGTGCTTGCCCAGGAAGAGACAGGAAGGCAGATGAAGACAGCATCAGAAAGCAGCAAGTTTCGGATAGCACAAAGAACGGTGATGGTACGAAGCGCCGTAAGTAGATGTAGTGGCCAAACGGGGTAGGGTTGAGTCCTTTCCAGATGTTGGGCATGGGGTGATATTGGAGAATCTGCATGATAAGACCCATAAGCCTTAGCAGAAAGTATGACTTGAGGCCCCAGAGCCAGTCGGTTTAGGTACAGCATTTAAATGGACTCCAGGTGTGTAACACAGCTTTTTAAATGCAGATAACCATTGTGAGATGTCCTAGTCCAGCAGTCTTCAAAATGTGACTTCCACCAGCAGCATGAACATTGTCTAGACACTGGGTAGAAATGCAACTTCTCAGGCCCCTGATTTTCTGTATCAGGAACTTGATGTGTGAGGCACAGTTATTGGTGTTTAATAAGCCTTCCTGGTGATTCTAGCCTACAGTTTTAAAATCAGTGTCTTAGCCTATTGGTATCAATTTATCTTTTAGTTATTAAGCGTTAGGGCTGAAAATAGCATCTTTTCACCTCATGACTCTATGAGAACAACAAGATTTGGGATGCATTTCATCAAACACAGTCTGCAGAGCATGCAAATCTGGGTTTCATGGAGTCTTTACATGTATGACCTTCTGGGGACATCGGTTACATCATCAATTGTTTTCAAACTTGTATTTTTAATTGGTGAAAACTTTTTCAAAATGGAATATTTCAAGGAACGTACAATGCAAAATAAAGCAGAGCTGCTCCAGTTGAAGAGAGTGGGATTTGGGAGTTGTCTGTAGCCCTATGTTTTACCTTCAACCTCCCCTTGCTGATGAGGTTCACCTCCACAGAGTCCTGGGACTCCACTTACAAAGTCTGAAAAACACTGATCCCCTGTGCTTCTTGTGGCAAAATTTAATTCTAGAAGGTCCCTTGCATAAGCCTGCTATCACTTCAACAAGGGTTTAAAGTACACCACACTATGGCTTATTTTTGAAAAAGGGTTTAATCTTATCATTGATTACTATCCAGAAGAAATAAAAATTATATTATACTTTATGGGAGAACCCATCACCATAGGTTTTAACTATTCAGTATGATATGCTTTTCCTGTTCTGATCATTCCTCAAAAATTCATACATATGATAAAAATTTTATGCATGTACACACATACGTATATATGTATCTCTGTTATAATTTTACTCTTGAGTCTGCCTGGTAGCGTAGTTCCTGAGCTTATTCCCTAATCACCCCAGTTACCTACAAATTAATGACTTTCAATAAGACATGTTAACTAAATTTTGGTAGAAGGATCATCTCTAAAGCTATACTTTGAATGTAGTTTCTAATGTGGGAAACCTTAGGAATATATCACTCATTAATTCCCTAATTTTGCCATTGGCAAGACAACTTCTACAACTTGCATTACTTCCTTGGAAGATGAATGATCTGAAAAATAAAATGCAAAGCCAATTTCTCTCTGTTTTTAATGGCTGTTCACAGACAGACATCAGGAAGACACAGGGTTTCCTGCAGCATTACTTAAGCCAAAGGCCATTTCCCAGCATCTTGGCTTTGATTTCCTTCATTTATTCTTTCCCGTCTTCCCCCCACCTCTTTATTGATAGGGTCACACTTAATGTAAAATCAATTGTTACCAATTAAATGGATACTTAGGATTAGAATCTTTAATCTCACAGGTGTTGCTGGTGCTACTGTCTATTTAATATGTATTAGTAAATCTTACTGATATTAACATTCAATTATTAAATATGTCAAACACATATTTAATATGTTTAATATGTGTAATTTCTTCAGAAGTATTCCTAGGATAAAACTTGCATGTTTCCTCCACCAGCTTTTCGTCAGAACACACATGGTATCCAGATGACATCCATCAAGAAACGAAGATCCCCAGATGATGAACTGTTATACTTACCAGTGAGTCTCCCTTGGGCGTTCATGGTTGCTTCATGTTAACCTTCTTTAAATGATCTTTTACTATATGGTCACCTTCTAGTTATCTGTGGCAAAAGAAAAAGAGATGTCTTAGTCAGTTGAGACTGCTGCAACAAAGTACCATAGACTAGGTGGCTTATAAATCACAGAAATTTATTTTCTCACAATTTTAGAAGCTGAAAGTGTGAGATTAAAGTGCCACCTGCTTGGTCTGGTGAGGGCTCTCTTTGAAGTTGCTAACTTCTATCTTCTTATATCCTCATATAGAGGAAAGGGCTAGAGAGGTCTCTAGGGTCTTTTTTTATAAGGGCACTAATACCATTCATGAAGGCTCCACCCTCATGACCTTCTCAAAGGCCCCACCTCCTAATGTCATCACTTTGGGGATTAGGATTTCAACATATGAATTTTGGAGGAACACACACATTCAGTCCATGTTGTTGTTGAGAGGGGGCTAATGTTATAAAATAGAAATAATATATGTTTTGAAAATTTAGGAAATTACCCATTCCTGTTACAGTTCTGGAATATATTAATAGTGTGAGCTTCTGTACTTACCTACCCACCCAGTTGAAGTCACCCTCCTAACATAACTTTTTCTACCCAAATACTTAAAATTAATTTGTACTTCATTACTGGAGAATAATAAGATTATCCTAGATAGCATGGCCATACCAATTTAGGCCAGAAATTTTGTCAGAAAGAGTTCACAAAATTGATAATACAGCAATTATAGAGTTGATTATGATTTATTTTAGCAAGTGCTATAAAGAAAGCTGAGCAAGACAGAATCCTCAGTTAGAGTTGGCCCTCCTTATCTGTGGGTTCCACATCTGTAGACTCAACCAACTACGGATCAACAGTATTAATACTTGAAAAAAAAACAATAAAAAATAGCAATATAAAATGTTATTTTAAAGAACAATACAACAATAAATAATATAATCATAAAAATAATACAAATACAAAAACAATACAATATAACAACTATTTATATAGCACTTACATTGTATCAGGTATTATACATAATCTAGAGGTACAGTATACAGGCAGTAAAATGCACCTACTTTAAGTGTATAAACCCATGAGTTTTGGCAAACACACTAAATAATATAATCATAAAAATAATACAAAAACAATACAATATAACAACTATTTATATAGCACTTACATTGTATCAGGTATTATACATAATCTAGAGGTAAAGTATACAGAGGATGTCCATACATTACATACAAATTCTGTACCGTTTTATATAAGGGATATGACCATCTGAGAGTTTTCATATCTGGGGGGCCAGAGGGGCAGAAAAGGGTCCTGAATTTAATCCCCTGCATATACCAAGTGATGAATGTATATGTAAATGGCCAGGAGGCTTGGCCCAATTATCATGTAAGAATCTCATTCTTTTCTACAAGCAACATTAGCCCTCTTGAGGTCACAAATGAGGTCACTTTATTAGACTGTAGTTGTAGTTAGTTGAATTCTTAGTGCCTTAGGTCTTTGCTATCTAGAGTGGCAGTGAAGTTTTGGTGACCAGTATAACCCTTGATGCCATCTAAAATGACATGAGATATGGACAGACAGGGCCAGGAGATTTGACTGTGAGCCACCTCCCTGGGATTGAACTAAAGCAACTCAACAGGTTTGGGTGTCCCCTACCTTCTTCCCCACCTTCTTTGGGCCCTGACCCTCAGGGAAATAGATTGCCGATAGACCAATCAGACAGTGAGTTAGCTGAGACGCTCGGTGTCTTGCTTCTCAAGACATATATGGAAACTGACTTGTGACCTTTAAGTAAAACATTACCCTGATATACTAAATATTCCAAAAGACTTAATATGTTTTCACCCAAGGAGACAGAAACTACTTGAAAAGCTATTTTAAAATTTCAGTTTGTACTAATGAAGGAGGTACCCTATAATGAGTTAATCTTAAGTTTAGTGAAGTATTAGCCAAACTAAAGTTTGTGGGGGCAATAACTCTATTAAGTTAGCATGTATTTACTTGGTGTTTGTTGAGTGGCAAATATGCTAGACCCTGAGCATTTAGACATTAGTAGGCCACAAGTGTTACTTTCAAAGAGTTTGCCTTCTGCTGAAGACACAGTTATAAGGTAATAAGATAAATGCTTCCCTAGAGCTAGGTAGGCATAGAGCTATGGAAGCACAGAGGAAGGACCAAAGATGCAGACCTGAAGAGTAAGGTCAGGAACAGCTTCTCAGAGAAGGGACCCCAGAGCTGGGATGAGTAGGAGCTCAACACAAGGTAGGAACATCTTTCCATTTCTGAATTCTGACAAATTCTGCCTTTCATATTCAGGGTGGGGAGAGGCAGGTGTAGTGCCTAGGGTGGAAAATTTAAATAGGCACTAACTCTCAGGGCCGTGCATGTGCCCTAAGTGCCGATTTTCCTCACCCTAGTTTTGGCCTTGCTCATATTTCTTGAAGCTTTTATGAGACCCTCTTAAAGATAGAAACACATTTTATCCCAGCTGAAAACTTTTGTCCTACCAGATATAGTTATGGTCAATTCTCATTTATTTATGGTAGTAATGTTTTATAAAAGCACTGTGAAAACTGTTAGTCAATGCAGAACCATTGCTCCTAAGAGAAATGCAGGACTAGGTTCCTTTGAGCTCTGGTCACAATATTTTATCAACAGATCAACATATAATCTTGTTTTATGTGTATTTTTGTTTGAAGACATCTTATTTAATTTATACCAATACTGTTGACTTATTAACATTGAACTCATGGCCAGTAGCACTGTAACTCATGCCTGAATGAAGCTTATCTAACACATGTGTTTTCTTTGTAAGGCACATCATGGCCTTCTTGCACTTAGAAACACTAGACAGAATTTCAGCACTATACTTGGATATTATTTTAAATAGTGAGATTACCCAGAAAAAGCACAACATTGTGAACTATACTGTACTAAATAGAACATGAAAAGAACTCAGGTGTACACCAGGAGAGCTGAAATGAGACAGCAGAGCATCTCCTTGTTTGGCCTACTTCAGCGGGGTCCTTGCACAGGTGACTCAAATCATCTGTCACTCTACACATGTCTGCAAATGACCACAAAAACACCAGGAGTATTGATTTTCATGTTACAGATAAATGTTAGCAAGTAAGTGAATAGAGAGATTCTGCAAATACAGAATCCATGACTGTAGAGGATTCACTGTGCTTCTAACATTTCTACAGCTTTTCATTTCTCCCTCTCTTTCCTTCTACTCACTTATGTAGGTGAGGGGCCGTGAGACTTACGAAATGCTGTTGAAGATCAAAGAATCCCTGGAACTCATGCAGTACCTTCCTCAGCACACAATTGAAACATACAGGCAACAGCAGCAGCAGCAGCACCAGCACTTACTTCAGAAACAGTGAGTGTATCGACTATCAACTTGTCGTTTTAGGACGCATGAGCAAGGGTGACTGTTTATTAGCATCAGTAACAGGGTGATTGATGGGCAGTGATGATGTGAGGCAGCAGATTACAGTAGATTGAGATGAGCTGGTGTGGCATTCCTTGTTCAGTTTCAATTTTTTTATGTGACTTATAAACTTTCCTTAGGAGTTCCATCTGTGTTCTGAAATTGAATTCAAACCATTTCTGGTGACTTACAAAGAAACTCACACTGAGTTTTATTTTTCTCTGATCCATACACATCTGTCAATAAAACGATTTTTAGTACATGCTGTATTCAAGTAGTAATGTTTATATTTTTAAAAAAAAAATCTTTCCCTATCCCAGTGGATTGTCTGACACATCTCCTGGAATGTACACAATCCATTTTTGGGAATACCACTGTATTCTAGGGATAGCAAATAGGTTTTATTATAAAGTGACTTGTTCAAGTGCTGTGTTGTGAAGGGATGCTAAGACCTAGTGCATGCTTACAGAAAATATCTGGGTACAGAAGGACAAGGTAGCATCATCTTGCCACATTTTAGCATCCCTGCTTTAGATCGTCTTCTAGTAATACATTGTTACATAAATTAAGCCAGATTTGGCAAACATATTACCATATACATATGACCTATTTATATGTTAAGTTTTATCTTGCCTCTTGGATCTTTAATGATGTTTTATGACTAATAAGAATAGAATAGCGCTTATGAAAGGATGGGAGGCTGGCCAATCAGAACTCTGTTTATATTTACCTTTCTGTGGTCAGGAATAATCACTTGTTAGTTTAATTAAGATACTATATGTGTGCTGGAAGAATTGCCAGAGTCTCTGTAGATAAATTTAAAATATATACATTTTGAGCCCTTTATAGTAATTCAAACATTCAACATTTCTCTTCAGGCAAAAAAAGAAATGAAGTTAAAAACTATTTTACCTGAGGCAAAGATTATCTTTTACAACAAAAAGGCAAATGAACAATAAATAGTGGATCTTTTCTGATGTGTTATGAGCTATTATAGGGCATTAGGTAGGGAAAATGTAATAAAGAGGGCGTGTTATTCTCTTTTTTAATGAACATAAATGCAGTTGAGGAGGCTGGAATGCATCTCTCTTGCCAGCAGAGACATCCTCTGCACACCTGTTGGCTACAGGGTGGGGTGGGCAGCAGAGGGATAGGAAAAAAGCATGCTCCCCGTTCAAAGGATGTTAAACTACTTGAGCGTCTAAAACCCTTTTTGGCCAGGAGGGATCTCATCATTTACTTTCAGCATGAAAATTTTGCAAATTGTAATTATATGGTTTTACATGTAAGGCTAAGCAGAAAGTTTAATCAAGGGGTTCCTTGGGAACACAGAGTATTCCAAAGGAAAATTAGAACTCAGGGTTGCAGACACAATTGCCATTGCCAACCATATGGATTCTTTGGGAAATCAGATGGAAATACATGTTAATATATTTAAGGTCAAAATGATTTAGTTCTTAGAAAATCATACAACAGGGATCAAAGAAACAGAGACCTATAACACCACATACAGACCCATAGAGGATAAATACCTTCCCCAAGATATGTATGTTATAGTATTAAGAAATTTTCTCAAATTGCCTCCAGTTCACTCTGGAAAAGTTTGACTCAGTCAAAATGATCCCGGAAGAATTACAGAGTAACAGTATCAGCTGAACTAGTTGCTCTGTGATACTGTTTCCTATTTTTTCCCCCCAGTTAATAGGAAAAAGTCTGACCATCTAGCACAGAGATTGGCAACATTTTTTTTTTTTCCTGTAAAGTACTGGTAATAAATATTTTAGGCTTTCTGGTCCATATGGTCTCTTGTAACAACCCAGCTCTGCAATCGTAGCACTAAAACAGCAATAGACCATGCATAAACGAATGAGAGTGGCTGTTACAATAAAACTTTATTTATGGGCCCTGGAATTTGAAATTCTATAATTCTCAGATGTCGTGAAATGTTATTTATTTGAAAATATTTTCCCACTCCCCATATTTAAAAATGTAACAACCATTCTTAGCTTATAGGCCAAAGTTGGCCCACTCACTGTAGTTTGTCAGTCCCTCTTACACATAAATGAGTGGCTCTTCTTTCATTGCTTTTTGAGCTCAGATTTTATCTGATAAGTGTACTTGTATGTATATTCTAAGGTAGAAAGATATTAAAGTGTTTTAGAAAATTCTAAAGTTATTTTAAAGTGACATTTCAGTATCTAATAAAATGACAACATTTTTTTTACAGAGATCTCTTTTGTCTGGGAAAGGGAGGCATGCCCATCCAGATATAAAATATGGTTAATGACACAACCCCATTGTCAGATAAGGCTAGAACACTTGACTTGATTCATGCAACAAATTATTGAAGACCTGCTTTGTGAAAGCATGAAGATAGAGATGAGAAAGATGGGATTCCTGCCTTCCCATAGTTTACAATTTAGTGGTCAATTCCTAACCAAGTACCCTTTGAATTTTAAGAAAAACTCAAGAAATTTATTCTCAGCATTGCATAAGTTAATAGGGCAATTTTAAACAGCTTCTATAAGTCATACAAGAAAAAAAACAGTTTAGTGTCATGTTCTAGAGACTGGACAAGCCAGGAGGATTGACATCATTCACTCAGAGACATATGCCATTTGTGTTTGTTTACATGATACACATGAAAATACATAGCCCTGTGTCCCTACGTGATGAATTATCTAGTACTTAATGTCTGACTGGCTTGCATTGCTCTAAAGGAAAATTTTTTATTATTCATATTTCATAAAATAATCCATTTCATCAGAGAAGAAAATACATCTTAATATTATGTTATTTTAGAAAGTCCAAAAGATTTTAGGGACATATTTTCACTTTTTTTCATGTGTGGCCACAGATAAATAGTGGGGAATTAGCAGTTTCATAGTTCCCTGGTGTGTTCATTTAAATGTATCATGTGCATGTTTTTGAGTGTATCTCACAGCTGTGATAATTTGTGCATGGAAATCTAACAGACTGCTAAATCAAATCTTTGCAAAATATAGACATTTGGTCTAATTATGTCTTTGTAACATTATATATACATGGGTCTCCAATGATTGATATGCATCTCTATAAATTCTCCAGTTGCTGTATTCTTCAGCTGAATTTTTTTTCAGCTCTAATTTTTATGCAAATCTCCAAGAAAGAGCATGAATGACTAGACAAAGAAAAATGGGATTCTAATTTCTTGGCAATCATTTGAAAAGAACAAATCAGCTTGGAAATTGCCTGTAATAGCCTGTGATTTCCTTTCCAAAAACATAGTACCAATTTTCTGCTGGTAAGGGATCAATTTTTTGCCTTTCTTTATAGTACAGGGAAAATTAGAGGGAAGGGAATATACTTTCTACAAGGTGGCAGTCAAATATTTTCAGTTTAATTACTTCTATTAGTTTCCCGCTATGTGTTTTCTTTCTGCTTGCTTTTCATTTGTGCATGGTTTTTCTTTTTTAAAAATTACTTTACAATTACCTTCATGATCATAGGCTTTACGGAAGATGGATTTTACAGAATTGCTGGGAATCAAATTGTTATAGATACAAGTAGGCTTTTCACTCTTTATGAAGAAATTTGATTTTAATTCATTGGCCTGCATTGGTATAAATAGAGGGAATTATGTTTCTAGAAGCCAGAATCAAATGTGATGACAAATTGGGCACAGTCTAGCCTCCTTTCCTTCATAATGTCAAGGGGCGTTAACTCTTAAGATAGTTTTGCAGAAGCCACTTAAGACCTATTTTTCAATCTTTTGGCCTCTCTATATATCAGAACAGTATTATTTCTTTTTCTCTTTTTTTCCTATAATTTCCCCTTCATCTTGGCTTTCATCCTGATCTAAGGCCAACATCACTTTGTCACAATTTTGCTCAGCCTAACTCTTGCTTCCCTCTGGAAAATTATTTTTGAGCTCCTGCAGGTTAAATCTTATTTAAATTGTAAGACTGATATGTGACATCCTGAGGAGCCCTCAGTGTTTCCTTCTCTTTTGTGATCTCTTGATGATTGTGGCTCAATAGTAATACAAGTCAGAGAATATCGGAACACAGCAGGATCTTCAAGACCACAGTTCCAGCTCCTTAGATCACAGCTGGAGGAACTTGAGGCCTGATGAACTACACCTGTGATTTTATAGTCAGTTCATAATAAAGCTAAGACTAGAATCAGATTTAGAACACAGAGCTCTTTGCAATGATTTGTTTGCTTCATTAGTTATGCAAGCTGTAATTATAAAACTAAAGCATCTATTTCCATTTCTCTCTCTTTACAGTTAGTTTGTATTTATTCTTGCTGTTTCAGTTTAAAGTCCTATATCTGTAAGCTCATTTGAGTATGGTTATCTTCAAGAATACTGATGGTCTTTTCTCCCTCAGATTCATATATCTGAGAGAGAAGCAAGCAACAATTCAGGATTATCAATGTAGAAGAGAGCAGAGGACACAAATCTCCAAACTAATGGAAGCTATTAGCAACATATTTCTATGTTTGACAAAGAAATCCTCCACGTTTCTAGAATATTTGTTTAAAATTGCTAGCTTTATTAGGTAAAAAAAAAAAAAAGATGAATATTGGCAATTTCATGTGATTCAACGTATAGTTCTTATGAACTTCACAAGTTTTATTGTTTATAATGTTACTTTTGGACTTTATAGTTGTGTTATAAAGTTTTCAGGGCAGAAATTTATTAGCTCTGAATTAGTAATAAAGAAAAAAACTTAAAGATTAATTAAACTTGGCTAGATTAAATCTAAGTTCTCACATTTCATATTCATTTCAGAATTAGTCTCAATTCTAGGTTTGAAAGTCTGCACCCCTCTGAGCTGTGTACTCTTACCATGGCTAGAACACTAGTGTGATTTCTATGTGTTGTCTCATGCCAGTCTTTACTTCAAGAGAAGACCCAAACTTTAATATTCAAACACAGAGTCAAAGTTTTAGTTCTTTGGTTG